CGACATGAAGCGCAACTACCAACCGTTCGCGAGTTTCTCTTCGAAATTGCCTATTTAGGCAACTCAGAAGCTTCTTTTCCGACTACCATCCCAGCATTTCGATGGACGAACGCCTCACACAGAACAGCAAAGTTGCCGTTTCGCCCTTGATGGTTCGTACCATCACAGACCTTTTCGAGGCACCGACTCATTGAGAATCTGGGCAGATTTCACTCGTCTGAATGGCCACAACCCTTTTGCATGTGAAATGCAGATATGCATAGATCTCACAGGGTCTTTCCTACAGCTAACACTTCAGGCTGACACTTCATTGACTCCTTCCTACACGATCCATTCCCAAAAGCCCCCACTAAGGTCGCCAAATTTATCTGTCACGCAAGATTCCAGCTTGTCCTCCACGACTTGAAACGGAATTTCGATCATCAGGTTCACTCCAAATCCATTCGAGCGCTCGCATAATCTTGCACTGATCTGAAAAATGAGGTCGGCCGTTCCCTCACCTATCGGAACCAGCTTCCGCGGCCTTCATCAGTACCTCCCCGCCACTCCCCGTCAACCGGTTGAAACCTCTTTCCACGAGAGTTCCTGCAGGATGAAGGCATCTGACATCTTGGTCGATCAGCCCCTGGGGGGCCCAAATGGAGCTGGAAGTCCATGAAACGGGTTTACCATTGGCTTATTCCCATCCACGTGTCCTCGGCAGTACTCTGCCCATACCTCGATTCTGGATTTGCCCCCGGAAAGATATTCCCTCTTGAAATCCCAAGAATCTGGTTGGAGAACTGACCGGAAACAAGAGGCTGCGGCACCTAGAGGGGCTCAAAGCCAAAGAACCCTTGGGACTGCATGACAAGATGACCTTCAAAGCACGACAGAGCTCGGTCCTTGGAAGCTAATTAACCCGTCTCTTGACCACGCCGTTGCCTCACACCCAGCAACTTCAATCCTCCCATCATCACTACCCGTGCTTCCTGTTCTTCCGGGAGACTGGTTTGACACGTTCATCAGTCAGCAAAAGCATTGCATCACAAGATGAACTTCGAGTGTAGCCCGTGCCTATGCTCGTTCGCCTCCATTTTCATCTGTCACCAGCTTTCTCAGCCTCGGCACCTGCGTCAGGTTTGTGATCTCAAATCGTCCGAGACCTCGCCTCAAGATACGCGTACTCCACTCCTCAGCCTCGAACTCCAAAACGGGAGACTTTTACACAATGTGTAGCTTTTCGTCAGCCACGTACTTTTGGTAAAGAGAGAATTCCTGGCGTCATCCCGGAAGTACGGCTTGTCACACCGTGACTATCATGCCTTCTTCTCAGCTGGACCTGCTCAAGATAGCTTCAGACCGAAACGTCACGCAGGGTGTTTTGTGTTTCCCTGGCTTGTTCCGACGTTGAATCTTGAACCTGCGTCGGGGAATTATTCGTCTTTTGAATCCTCTTTGCCTGTCGTGGCCAAGTTTGTGTGGTGGCAACTGGCCAAGCCACTGGGGCTCAGTGTCCAACATCATGAGCCCGCCACTCTGAAGCTACCCCCCCTCCCCCAAGAAGCCCTTAAGAAGGTGAAGTGAAGGTGGGCAGTCAGAGAGGGATCTGGCCAAGACTCAGATCTCATTGGACAAGGCTGCGTTTACTCCCGCGCGTGCGCGCATAAGATAAGCCACGATTCCTTACGTCCTTCCTCGGACATCTCCAAACCGTCCGTGTTATGAAGCATCATCTCGTCATGTTAGCCACCGATCACAAGCCTAGAAAGACACACACACACACACACACACACATACACACAGAGGTAGATGGGGATAGAGAGAGAGGGGGGGAGAGATATGCCCACTTGCTATCCGTACGCACATCGGCACCAGGCACAAGGCACAAGTGACGCCGCGACGCTCAAAGATTGGTTGCATGGAACGGAACGGACGGGAAAGTTGCAGGAAGAAAAATGAGAAGAAACGGCGCCAGTGACGTGGTGGACGAGCGGGTTAACGGACGGATGAAATCTTTTTTGGTTCCGGGGTGAGAATGCGAGTGGTGAGGTAAGTCGAGGTGAGGATGAGGATGAGGTGAGAGAGAGAGAGAGAGAGAGAGAGAGTGTGTGTGTGTGTGTGTGTATGTGGTGTAAGAGGAGGAGGAGCGGGAGAGGGGGTGCCTGCGGCGGGGTGGGGGGGGAAGGGGGGGGAAATCAATCGGCCAGTGCCGAGAGTTGTGTGTATGTGTAAGTGAGTGTGTGAAAGTGGGCATTTTTGGATAGCCCGGCAAGGCTAATGCAACCACTTCGACACTTTTTCGCAGAGCAACACAGAAAAGACTCATGCAACCACCCTGACTTGCCAGACTAAAACGCACGTGGTGTGGGCGAGAGAGAAAGTCCCAAGTGTCAAAGTCTACTTACCCAGCCTCCTCCTTCTTCCTCAGGTCCCTCCTTCCCGCAGCTCCTACCATGGTTTGCCCCCCTCCCCCCCCTGTCTGCCTTCGCATGGCCCTCGCATACCGCACCCGCATATCTTTGTTAGACCATGGACGATGCCTCGAGACTAGAGACTGAGAGTGAGTAAGAGACTAAGAACGCGTAAGAGAATTGAAAGAGAGAAGTCGAATGAACCCCACTTCCGTCTCGGATTCTGAATTGCGATCGAGGCTTGCCTTGCGTCAGATCTAGTTGCATGTATCAAGTGCCCATGTATGAGAAGGAGAATGCCAAAAGTTTTCTTGGTACAGGCACGATGATGACATTGGATTTCATAAACTCTGTGACAATGACCAACGTCTCCGTATTAGTTAGCTACTTGGATGATACTGACTCTTGCCGTCCGAAGAAAAAGAAAAGGCGTCGAAGCGCTGGACGGCATAATTCATGATGCTCCTTCCGGATGAACTCCATGACACATTTCCCCCAAGTGATGAGAAGAAACATGAAGAAACTTCGACTAGACAGGATTGGGGAAAGGCAAGAAAATTCCAAAAAAGAATAAAAATAAATTGTCTGAAGATTTGTGTAGTATTTCCCATTTGTGAAAACAGAGACTATCTGAGTTGGAGACTCGTACACACACAACCATCCCTTTTGCCCTGGCCCCCCCTTGTCGTCCAGTCCGAGGTTCTATCCAGTCTCCCCTCTCCCCCTTCCGATAGTTGCGCCCGAAGCGAGTGAAGTTGCTTCCCCAGAAGAGAGCAGTCAAAATGCAAGAAGAGATGAACCAGAAAAAACGCCTTCATTGCGCCGTTCCTCCGTTGAAAAGCCCATTGGAATGAAAAACTGGTACTATTTCAGTAAAACGCCTGACAAAAATGTACAAGAGTCAATTCCACAAGTCTCATAACTGGCCCTCTCTCTCTCTCTCTCTCTCTCTCTCGTGTAAATAAACGTCCCAATCTTCCAAGAGAAGAAGGGTGGACAAAGAAGTAGTGTATGCTCATATCGGTCGTATCAATCGAGTGCCGCTCATCCGTGGCCACGCTCTGGTGTATTCCAAATTTTTGTACTTTTCTCTCGCCTCCTCTGGTGGTTTTGCTTTTACGATTTTGAGTTTCTGGATTTGATCCGAACTGTTGGTCCCTGACTAAGCATAACTCATGTCACCTTTGCGATGGCTGACGACTTCGAGCGTCGTGCCAAGGTTGTGCCCGAGGTAGCCAATCATGGCCTTGCTGACTTCAGGATCCTCTGACAGGTCAGCGCAGACCTCACGGAACTGCGCGTAAACCTCCTCCAGCTTGCGAAGCTCGCGGTTCAGGATCTCGAGCTCGAGCCACCTGCCGTCCTCGCCGCCCAGCGTGTAGGCGCCGAGACTGACGCCGAGTCCGCCGCCGGGGCTGAGCTGGTTGACCGCGGGCATCATGTCGTTCTCAAAGTACGTGTGCGTGGCGTTCTTGTAGAAGCTTGTAATCTTGCCAATGACGGTTGCCAGCAGCATCGCCGCCGTGTGGGTGCCGGAGCGGCTCATGCATCTGTTGCAGGAGAGCATGGCGGCGCATCCCTCGACAGCCTTGCGGTTGAGAGAGAGGACGAGGTCGAACGGTGGCGCCTGGGGGGACGAAGCGTTGTGCAGGGCCTGGAGGGACTGTAGGAGCACCGTGAAGCATGTGCAAGAGCCTCCACCTCCTGACGAGGAAGACTTGTGCCTGACAGCTGGGCGCATGTTGGGTGTTGTTGAGGGGCTCGGGAAGTACGCGGCGGCCGCCATGTTGTTTGGGTTCTGCATGGTCGTATACGCCATCATATCATGCTGTGTTGGGTCTCCCCACGGTGCCATGTGGGCTGCCATGGCCATATCCATGGACTGAGAGCGGCCGTGATGGGTGGCCATGTGTGCGGTGGACATTGTCATATCGGGATATGGAGCAGCAGAAAAGTCGGTGGGTGGTGTCCAGGGCATTCCGCCTCCGTACATGTCTGCTGTCGGATCTTGGTGGTCTCTTGGGGTTGTGTCGTCGACGCCGAGCATGGCGAGCCCAGAAGAGATTGAGGGATTTCTGCTCATGGCTCCCGAATCCATACTTGTGGGTGTATGCCAGCCAGGCTCCATCTTGTACATGCCGGGATGTTGGCCAAACATGAGGTTCTTTTCGTCCATGATGGGAGATAGGTCGGTCATGTCCATGTGGACAGTATTTGCATGGCTTGGTGCGCTGTTGTCTGACTTTGGTTTGCCGGCTCTGCTTGAGGGAGAATACCGACATTCGAGACCGCATGCGAGGCATCTGGAGCAGATGGGTCTTGCTTTGGAGCACTTGACCTTGGCCAAGAAGCATCCATCGCAAGAAGCCCGGAGTCGGGGTTGGCGAGGTTTGGAGGAAGAAGACATTGTTGATTAAGGTGAGTTTTCCCGAGTTTGCTTGAGACTACTCTGTGAGAAGAAGGAGATTGGGTATCTTGATCTAACAAAGCTGTCTAGGTCCAGAGAATGCAATGATGGTGGAGGGGCAAGCCACTATTAAAGAATTGAACAACGGCGGAAATTATTAGAGTTCTGTAGGTGGTGCAAGTAAGATGTCTGTGTGACAATCGAGAGCGAGTGGGTACAAGGCGAAGGAGGATTAGCAAGCTCTATTCAGGCTTCGTGTGAGAGTGCGATGAAGTGCGGGAAGAGCTCCGAGGGCCACGGATCGATGTTTAGGGCGGCAGCGAGCGGAGTCTAGCCGACTGCAAGGTCGACAGCAACGAGTATGAGAGAAAAACGGGGTTACGAAACAGGAACGGAAACGGTCACGGCCATAACCCAGAGTTCAAGAGGGACGAGCATGGAGTGAGAGTCCGGGTGTTTCTGTAGGAAGGGATGAGAGAAGGAGCTTGTAAGAAGAAGAAGCATGCGACACGGATGAGAAGGAGCGGACGTTGAACAGTTAAAAAGTGAGAGCCTGATTTAGACATGCTATCCATTGGCTTATACACTGTACATAACCATGTACATTGGGGGCTGTGGTCATGAAAGAGGGCGTGGACAAATTGGTTCAAAGGTTGACCGACCTTGGTCGACATTTGATTACCCACCCTGGAGGGAGAGAGAAGGCAGAGAGAGACACACTCATAAGAGGAGAGAGACTGGCTGAGCACAAGGTGCCCCCGTATGTACCTGTACGTATTGTGGTTGCTGGTGTGAGTGTGAGAATGAGAGTAGACGGAGAGGCAGTCTGAGGGAAAAAGAAAACGGCCCATGTAAACGCCCAGTTGGTACGTTGGACTCGTCTATTGGTGTGGACATGGGTTGGCTCACCCGCACGCAAAGACCCTTGGGCTTCAAGTGCAAAGGGCATTGGATAAGTCTCTCCTGAGCAGGCCAGAGCTCGCGCGACCGCTTGGACAAAGTGAACTGACCGGGGAGGTTGAGGACTCGGCAGCTAGCCAGCAGCCAGGTGCAGAGCGAAAGACAACAGAGAGAACCAAACCAGGCCAATTCGAAGCATAGACTTGGACGGTTTGGGCCTGATAAAGCCTCGTCTGGGCATGCAGACAACGTATGTGGCACCCTTTTGGGCCGATGTGGGAAGAGAGGGGAGCAGCTACCGAAGCCATTCAGATGGATATTCTGCCTGACTGATGATAGACGTTGGGTGTTGCCGTTTCCAGCTTCCCCAGCTTCCCCACGGAAGTCTGGAGACAACGCAAGTGCTGCCGGCAATCAATTCATATGGAGTTCCCCATAATGAGACCCTGAGTTCTTTACTTCAAGGGTTGTTGGGTGGACGGATGATGGGGGGTAACCATGACCATCCATCCACTTGGTGGGCAGACAACTAGAAAGACCAAGAGGCAGAGAGCAGGGTGGGTTGAAGGAAACGGCATCTGTTGGTTTGTGCTGAAAGGCATATCCCAGAAACTGCGCTGTGCTCTGGTGTCGTGTTGTGAAGGCTGATGCTGATGAGGGTCATGATGGTTGCCGTGATGGTGGTGGTGTGTGCTGAATCTAGAGCTGGGGCCCGGTCGAGGACAGGATACCCTGCCCTTGGATAAGGCAAAGAGGTGGGACGGTGGTAAACGGTTCGTTCCAAGTTGGCGTGGTAAAAAGCAAAATGGTCAGAAACAGCAACCAGGACAAGGAAGCGGGAGTAGAGGGTGATGACGCGGGCTAAGGCGGATTATGCTCAGCATGCCATGTCTAGACACAGTATTCTTACTGCGTATGGATACACTGAGTTCTCTAGGTGCTGGTGGAAGGTGAAGCTCCCCAAGCACGGAAGATAGAACGGTACGGTAAGATACTACAGTGAGGCAACGCAAGGCGAGGCAAGGTGAGGTAAGGCAGGGCAAGGCCAGAAGGGTCCAGGCGTATCTGTGGGCAATAAGGTATCCGGTAAGCTCGATCAGACCCAGGTCCGAACCAAGCTGGTGGAGTGGACAACTGAGATAGGAACAAACGAGCCATGTGCAGGGATTAAGATAGGCCCAACCTTAGGGGAGGAAGTTGCTTCGGAGAGGACGTTGCTTCGGAGAGGAGAATCGAAGGCTCGAAAGACGGGATTGTAATCAACAAAAAGAGGGATGGGACACTTCCCTTGGGCCTATTCGTAGGGAGGTATGCCGGGCAACCGACGGCAGGCGGAAGTGCTCGCACGTTGAGGCTGATTGGCTCGGCCTGTTGGAACAGACCAGGCATTGGTCCGAGGGCGAATGTGTGTGCGAGGAAGACGAAGAAGGGCGAGCGGGAGGACGAGCTTGGAAAGACGAAGGGCAAGGGACACTTGAGAGCCAGGGACGGACTGCAAAGTTGAAAGACACGTTTGGCGGGGGCCGCGGGTACGGATTACGGGCGAGAGATCATGATGTCGAGGAGGTGGAGGTGGAGTTGGAGGCGGAAAAGGAGCTAAGAGGAACCCATGTCTCTGGGGTAAAATAAAATAAAAAATAACTAAGAAAGAAAGAAAAACCCGAAGGGCGGAGGGTAATTGAGGTGAAGTGGCATGTCAGAGTCAGATTTGGATGTGTGAAGTCCCAGGCCCAGTGGAAGTGAGGAGGGTGAGGTGGAAAAAGACAAAGTACCTTTTCCAAGAGGGCGAATGGGGTGATGGGAAAGTGAACCTCGCCCGGATGGGAGATGGGGGGGGGGGGGGGGGGGGGCCTTGCCTGGGCAAAAAGATGACAACAGCGAACGGTACCTCGGGCGACGGTAGATGATTGGACGTTGACGGTGGGCTTAGGTAGGATGACGGTGCCAACATGTACCTCGTGTCAAGTACCGTTTCCCTCTGCCCCCGCCATGACAGTCTTCCGTTGATTTTCCTTTCAGAAGTAACTACCAACCCGCTTACCTTCCTTACCTCAAGGTGAAGAAGTAGGTAGGTACCTTGTAGATGTTTGTTCTTCATCAACCATTGCCTTTGTTATGATGCCCATACATCAGATCCCCCAAGTACGGCAAGTAATGAATGTGTAACAAGAAGAAAAGGAAGAGGCGGCGAATCGATAAGACCCAGAAACGCTGCCGCTTCACCTTGCTTAAGGTAGTTGGCGTTCTTCGGCGCCTTGTTTCGAGGAAATCTCTCTGTGTCTTCCATTCTCCATGACCATTTGACTCGACTACGAGGTCCTCCTCCTGTCTGTCTCTCACTGTTTCGTTGGATCACCGTAATTCTGCAGCTTTTTCAGCTGCAATGCGCCCTCATTAAGTCGCCGATAGCGTCTTCATATTGGCCCACACATCCTGTAAATGTGCCACTTGCCTCATGCCTCATGCAGCATCGCGATATCTCGCTTGCTTGCCTTCCAGCTTTCACTGCCTCTGCCTTGGTCAGTGACCTAGGTACCTACCTACCTACCTTGGGTGCTTCAGGTTGTTGTCGCTGCCTCTTGGGTCTTCTTCACATCCTCAGGTCGCCCTCGCACTCGTCCCCGGTTCTCCAACTCTCCAAAAAAGGTGAGAGCGAACTGGAGTGAAGAGTGGGGCCACGAGCCTAACGATGCACGACACGAGCAGGGGGAACGAAGGCCCCTGCAATTGAAGAGCAGGGGGTCCCTGAGTAAACGGTGCGGATGGGGTGAGATCCTCCCCTCGCCCTTGCCCCCCTGCCTCCTTTCGCCGAGTACGTACCTACCTAGTCCTGCGGGAAGAAGCTTGGACCTCAGAGAGAGGTACGTAACCCGCAACTGGGCCTTCCGTGAGGTTCATTGTTTCCCTGCCTGTGCCTTCCCCTTCCGAATCGTCCTCTTTTGCTACCTGACCGAGACTTACTCACCTTGCTTAACCATTTGATTTCAGATACATGTATCTATCTACCTTACGGGTCTGGCAGGTTGATTAAATGGAATCGTCGAGCAATTCAAACAATGTGGTAACGCTCCCACTATGACTCCATAAAACACTGCCTGACATGCATACTCTAGACACCGTGCTGATAGCCATCGTCCTTACCAAAGATGCTAGCAGTGTCCAATGTAAGCAACATGCACGCTTCTTACATTTGATGCACATGTATTCCAGGTGCATGTGGTCTCCTTGGGTGCAAATGGGAGACTACAGAACAGGCGCCAGATGCTATTTCCTTTTCTTTTCCGTCTCCCTGACAGGAGAAATAAAGTAGAACTGACTCCTGCAAAGCCACGGTTGCGAACAAAGCGTTTGTTTCCTGTGTCTTGCTCCAGATTCAGATTCGGATTCAGATCCAAAACCATGACAACTTGTCACCAAACACACATACATGCCCACATGTCCCAGGAATAACTATTTGAGCAAGATGCACTATTCGTGTGCATAGGCTGCTTCCTTCACTTGACTAGCAAGGCATGTACGTACTTGAACAAATACGAGGCCCATGGAGAGACATCGCAGGGTTGGCTAGCAACGGTCCCATTCGTGTTGGATGCAAAGTACCGGAACATTGGCCGAAATAAAGCAAAGACTTCAAGCTTCGGATAGCAGATATGATCAGAGACGGGGAGCTCGCCCACCAAGTGGCGTCCACACTTGGCGAGATGCCAATTTTACGGCCCGTTATCGTGATTCAGATTTCTTCGTATCCTATGAGCATCTTGCAAAGGAGAGTTTGGTTGAATGCCCTCTCTCCGCTTTCCGATCTGAAGTGTGCTCGTCATCCATCTTCAACTTTTTTTCTCTCAAACCTCGTCTTATTCATGATAGCTGTGGCCGTTGTGGTCCGAAGCCACTGAAGCCAAGGCGCGTTGTGTTTCCACGTTCTGCTTTCCTCTTTGAGACTATGTTCCTAAGTTTTCCATCACCCCTAGGGCCCTCTGGGCAGCTCTTCATGGCGCTATCCCGCTTTCCTCTTCCCTCGAACCCAAGATGATTCGGATGAAGCAACGATTCAGAACCACTGCTGCTTCGACAGCATTGATTGCTGTCCCCCCTGTCAGCCAAGGTGGCTGAAGTGTCGCCGAGCAGAGGCCGCCGCCGCCGCCCAGGGCGCCGCAGAGGACCAGCGTCTAACCACGACGATTGACGGGAACACGCAATTCCCGCAGTTCCTGAGACGAACAGGAGGAGGCAATCGATACGTTACCGCCTGCCGAAACTCTCGCAGCGTACTGCATCAGTCAAACTGCTGGCCAGTGGCCCGGGACCCCGCACAGAGCTCAGAAGTGAGTACCTGTCTACCTTACCTTTGCCTTTACCTTATCCGCGGAAAGGACAAGGTACGGACAGAGAGGCCCCAGGCGTCCAGGAGCCGCTTCTAGACTTTTGTGTGACAGAAGTTATGAGGTGGACCAGTCTTATTCCGCGGTGGTCATAGTGGTCTTGGTATGTCGGGTAGGCCACCCACAACGCAAGTTCGAGTCAGAATCGGATCCTTGGGAGATGGATTGATTGTGTGGCCAAGTCGGAGGCAAAGGAAGCAAGGAAGCGGAGCATGCCAGTACCTACCTACGGATCGCTCTGGTGCAAGCATGAATCTGGGACCCAAGGCATGCATGGTATTCATTCTAGCTGATCTCAGGACATGCACAGCACAGAGCTGATGCCTTGAGCACATGTCGAGATGCCTTACTCCGTAGAGAGGCTGGGGAAAAATAGAAGCTCACACGAGTAAGGTGTCGCAGGTAGCTTCCCAAGGCAAGATCATGTACAAGTCAATGTCAAGGTGAGTTGCCTTAGGAATCAAGCTGCACAGAGAAAATGGCCGAGACCCACTTGACACGGCACGGAAGCGCACCGCGGCCGTGGGAAAAGACGGAGCACAAGGAAGGAGGCGGGGCGATGGGGACGGCAGGAACGGCAGGGAACACCACACGACGGCTATGCTTTCCGTCTCCCCTCAAATGTGGACTTGCCTTCCATGACCTGGAGGAGGAGGAGACCTGGGGACTCGCCCCACTTTCTCCCAGCTCAGGGCAGGAGCGACCGCAGAACAACCTGAGGTGAAGGAAGGTAGGCACGCAAGCACGGCAGGCACGTCCTTAGTCCCGTCCCATCACGCTCGTGGCTCGCTCACCTTGGTGCCTTCCTACG